CAATAACTCTTAACTGCTGAGCTATCTTTCCAGCCCATGAATTGCATCATCTTTACGGCATGACCACTCTGAAATAGCTCTAAAAATCTTATGATGCTAGGTTGTGGAGCACTGACCCTGTATTAAAACTGCAATCATAAGAAGCCATCTCTAGTAATCTATAATTGCAGGGCCACATAGCTCAGGAATCCAAGAGTGATTTGAAAACAAGAACAAAGCTGCCAGATAACAAATCTCTGCAGGAATTTTGCTGTGGCTTTGATAGCCCAGGGAGTGATTGATGACAAAGTGAAACCTGCCAGGGACTGGGAGCTGGAGACAGGAAAGTCCTAAGAAGCAGAGTCCTAAAAGGGGAGTTTAGTGCTGCATGCTTGACTTTCTTGAGAGATAAGGATGGAGAGTGAGTATTTGAAATGGGGAGAAAAGTGAAAAGATTTCATTGTAGATAAAACCAAAGATCACTTAGTTCCTTCCCTAACGACACTTATGGGTCTTGCACTTCATTTCGGGTCTCATTTATCCCAGGTTCTTCTTGTCGCTAAGCGGGACCATAAACTATGATGGGATCACATTTACTTTAACTAGGAGGCATTGTGAGGCTCACAAAGAGACAGAGAGACAGAGGGAGGGAAATGGAGACAAGGAAGGGATCAGGAAAAGCCTGATGATTTAATTGGCCTCCGGAATAGTCTACTTGATGGAGGAGTGAAAACACTCCCTTTTCATTTCAGGCATCTTCCCTGAGTGTGAACATTAAGCTCGATTGGAGTCTGTGAATCTGAAGATGCACATTTCTCATGACTTGACCTCTTATGCATTGGTGTCCAGCTGAAGGAACAGAGAACTGTCTGATGATGGTGGGAAATTGAGTCTGTTGGGCTTAAGGAATTAATCTTTTCAGCTGATACAGTGGTCTCAAGTCCATAAGGTGGGAAGCTGAAGCAGGAAATTTTCAGGTTCAAAGTCAGTCTGAGCTAACAAGACTCTGTGTGTGTGTGTGTGTGTGTGTGTGTGTGTGTGTGTGTGTGTG